TAAAATATTGCATTTCCGGGACCAGCAGCCAACTGGTGATTTTTCCACTATCACCAAATGATTCCCCACTACGAATAACCCCTGTATCGCAATTTTGGTGGGAGCAGCTTTTCTTCGAACTTTTTTGTAATTATTTTTCGATTTTTGCACCGTTTCATAATATAAGGTCACCCTGTGAAAATGAATACTACATTATCGGAAACAACCAACCTGCCTGTGAAATTGAATGTTTGTTACAAACACACCCAGTAGCTAAATTTATGGAATGTTTCGTACTCGCCTTTTGAAGAAAAGGTAAAGTTTATGCATTTCATGGTGCTTGGCACGGTTCGCGAGTCTTTCCAAAGAACTTCGGACAGTCATTAGCACTGCTCATGGATAATTGAAAAGCTCCTACGTCTCCAGATATTCTACAATATCAGAACATCCACAAAATGGTTTCTATAAATGATTAGAGAAGAGTTATGAGGGCTGTCCCGTGCAGTATTTCCGCTTCAAATCGGCGTCGTGCCTGATTTAAGGTTTCTATCTTGAAAAATATGAACTGGAGTGCGGTGAAATTATGCAACAACATTACCAGGAAAGCAACAAAGATGGTCCGAAGGCTCAGTGGCCATTGCAAAGTGGCACAACTTCAACCCGTAAAGTTGAACTTGAAGAGAGTTTGAACAAGGTTGAGTCTGCTCCACAGTCGCACCATATAGCAAGATAATTCCAGTAAAGTTGGTATTTTTTGGACAAAACTGGTTTATACAAACAGATCCTGCGAATATAAACACTTTTGAAGTGACTTGCGAAGGTGGCCGATTCACTTCAGCGCTTGCAATTTTAGTTAAGGAAATGTGAAAGGTGTGGGTGCTTTTTGTGATGATGTTGTGTCAAAATTTCGCTTCCATAAACTGCATAATGGACTCCAAAGATTAGCATAGAGCCTTGCGAGGACATTTGACCTCTTCCTTGAGCTGATGAAGTCGGCTAGCCTACGTGGTCATACAGAACAGTACAGGTACCCATGTAGGTCATTCAACCAGAAGCAGCATTTCTCTCGAAACCCTGATGAACTGAACAAATTTTTCTGAATTTCTAGTCGTGTTCTAGTAGAACATCTCAGGGGCATCTTCGTCATGAGTAATAGTGCGGATAAACGCCAGTTAAAAATTACACAAGAGCGTGTACAAGCAACCCTTGAACACGGAAGTGAATCGATGGTGATCTGCCTTGGAATCTCAATTCCGGTAGGCCACGGAGACTATTCAATGTTGCCCTTGATAAAGGAGGAACCATACATTATTATGTCTATTTTATCTGTCATTAATCTTAGGTAATTGTTCTTTTTCTCAGGGTGACCTTATATTATGAAACGGTGCAAAAATCGAAAAATAATTACAAAAAAGTTCGAAGAAAAGCTGCTCCCACCAAAATTGCGATACAGGGGTTATTCATAGTGGGGAATCATTTGGTGATACAGTGCGTACCAAAAGTATGTGGACACCCTAGAATCGATTCTCAGGGTCAGCTAAAGGCTTTTTGTGTATGAAACCTTCCACCATTCAACTCCTAGTGGTCGATAACCTACAATGACATTTCGGCAAAAGATTTCGTTCTAACTTAGCGAACTATTTTTCATGGAAAGTTTTTTCTTTGTATCAAAATTATGTGGACACCCTGAGGCAGATGAAGTTTTTGCATCGATTTCCTAACCTATTTTTACTTCTCCTTTCGTTACTTATTCTGGCATCATTCCTCTTCACGGCAAGCGTTTTTCTGAAGAAGACCGAGCACAGAAATGGGATCCCCATGCTTCTGAACCTTCCTATTGCGAAATAGCACGTCAACCAGTCATGCGTCCTCGTAGGTTTGGAGAGAAATCCGAAATCCTGATGCTAAGCTCTCGACCTTGACTGAGGGTTGTTCTCAATCGCTACTTGTTCAAAACAGGAGAAGAATAGCCTTAATTTTCTCAAATTATTCTTTTCGTACTACTCAACTTTACGCATAAATGATCTTCCCGATCTTAAAAAAGACCAATCGGTGTCTCATTCAATCAATTGAGCACACGACACGAAAGAAGATGAAGAAGGCTTTGTATATGAATGCGGGTTCAGGTTGGCAAGGTTGGAATTCCCACTCAAAAAAGGATCACAACATGATACTTTGAACCCACACAGACAGTGCTTTCGTGGAAATGGTAAAATTAGTATAAAAGACTTTCTGTGGAAATTTCTTTCATAGACCAACTCGACTGGCAGAAAGAAGCTTATTCCTTACTATTCGGGTGGGTCTTGAGGTTTTTGGAGAGACTTTGGTCGGACCCGCAGATGTGCTCGAAGAGACAATTCGGAAGATGTTCATCAAAGGTCTGGGGTGGTTCCAAAAGGAGGGGGACATTGAAGTTTGGCTTGCCAACATGTCAGGTAGACAACTAGGATTATAATGAGGTGCTTGAGTCCCGGCTACAACCTTTTTCGAAAAGTCATGGTCGCAAATCACTTGTTTTGCAGGGGAGGTCCCTGACACCATTCCATTTGGAAAAATGCTAAACGCAACGGCTTTGATTGGCAAGTCGGCTAGCGTATTCCTCAGACTTCATCCTTATTGAAAACGTAGAGGTATCGTGGTTCGCGGTCTCTACGTCATTGAACAAAAGAGTAATATCACAAGTGACCTAACACGTCGGTGAAATTTGCTAGTTGGGAACAGATCTGCAAGACATGTATCCAGACCCCATTCATAGCATGCCAAACAGAATGGCTCAACTTACTAGAAACTTTGGTAGGCCTACCGATTTCAGATTCTGAAGATATTGCCGTTTTTCAAAAAGTGTCCACATAATTTTGATACAAAGAAAAAACTTTCCATGAAAAATAGTTCGCTAAGTTAGAACGAAATCTTTTGCCGAAAATATCATTGTAGGTTATCGACCACTAGGAGTTGAATGGTGGAGGTTTCATGACATAAAAGCCTTTAGCTGACCCCTGAGAATCGATTCCAGGGTGTCCACATACTTTTGGTACGCACTGTAGTGGAAAAATCACCAGTTGGCTGCTGATCCCGGAAATGCAATATTTTAGGGTGACCTTATAGTTATGAAACGCACTGTATAGGGGGATCTGGAAACGACCTAGTAGGCACGCAAAACTACCGCACATCCGGCTTATTCTTTGCGGAGAAACGAACGTCTTATTTTGTGAAAACGTTTGATATCATTCTGAAGGTCACGAAATTCACCAGCCTATGAACCCGAACCTGGTTCAGTGGAAGGTGCGAGAAGCTATTTACATCTCTATTCCAGAGGAATGAGCCTACGTCCTTCCGTGTGTGCTATGACCCATCATTTCGGGTGTTTAACAGTGATGGCTCCCAGTAGGATACCTTTCTTGTTAAGGCAACATAAAGGTAGCTCTTACAGGCAGGCACATGCTCAGAGGAAAGAGAAAGTAGCATTGTCATATGGAATAAACGTTTTCTGACGTTCGCATTGCCGTCAGAGGACGCTGATCACATATTTCTTCAGCCGTCCTATTTCGATACAGTAACTGTTATAAAATGGGGAAGGAGAGCAGCACAACAATACGTCCATTTGCTGCTCATCTCTTGCAAACGCTCAGCTAATCTCTAAGTTTGATACTGTATAATGATGGGTGAAAACAGCGTCGGGTGAGCACTTCATAGTGCTCGACGTTATTAGCTGTAAGAATTTCTCTAGTGGTAACCCTGAATTTGAGGTAATTTTTTGATAAGGGGTGATGTGCCCAGAATCGAACACATCCATTTCAGTTCTTAACACTAGATCAGTGGTTTACCCACTCTGGAGCTCCTTCCATGCCCATCCGTGTGCCCTTCGGCCTAGGCAAATTTCCTGCCCTTGGCCCAGGATCGTTACCCTCTACCCTCTTCCAGTTTGATTCAAAAGGTCTTTATAAGATGCTGCTGCAGACGTGACGTTACCAATCATTTTCTCTGAACATTATCAACGTCTCTACCTTGATCCTTATCATTAGGTCTGCAGACCACGATGAAGTGGCTCTTGCCCTTTAACCATCTAAAAGGAAAAGCCATACAGAAAGCCACGCACATGCCTGAATTCTGATGGTTCGAGAAATTGGATAAAAATTTCCTTCTAGAACAATCATTATCATCATTACAGCATCGTTGCAAAAAAAGATTTCACGTAGCCTTTGCAACTGAAGCTCGTGCTATTATTGCCGCGGCATTAATAAGTTTTACCACGAACACCATTGTTTTATTTACGGTTAGCATTCAGAATGAGGCTGATATTGCTCACCTTACTCTTGGTTGTTGCCGTCAATGGAGGTATCATCGACAAATTGAAAGGTATTTTCACCGGCGAAGAAAGTTTCGGTCAAAAAGTGAAGAATGCAACCATTGTCGGATTCCAAAAGGTTGGATTGGCTTCATATTCTTTGTTGCTTCAAACTGTGTATTTTTCAAGCTGTTTCCTGTCAGATTCATTACATTTTATTATTTTATGCTCAATCATGCTTAAAGAATTACTTCACGGAAAAATCATGATTCTATTTCAGCCATAAATCACTGGCTTGAGACTCATTATCCACGATAAGAATGAAAAGAACAGAAATATTGCTTTTGTTTTGATTAAAAATTCGAAAAATCGAAAGGGCTGCTACGCGTTCAAAGTGCCCACGGACGTCTTTCACAAATGCTGGCGACGGGGATGCTTCCACTTGGTTCTTGGAGTGCCTTCACTAGAAAACTCTTTCTGGCCTTCTGCTTTATTGCATTCACATCTTACAGTTCTACTCCATCCTATTCTATTAAAGGCAAAGGTCGGGATTAGTTGACCAAACCAACCCTTTCGGTCATGCCTGTACTTGGTTACGCACCCGTAGAGATGTTCCCACACTCAAAATCTCAAACGGCGCGGTAATAAGGCCCAGGGCATGTACTATGCGCTATCGCCGCCTGGCCCCGCTACGACCGCCCACCTCGGGGTGCATGGCTGGCATAACGTGTGAAATCAGCTAGGTTGATTGCCGTATCAACCGATAGAACGACTGACATCTCCAGAAAACTTGTTTGTACGTGCCTCTTCCCCAAGCCAGCCTCCTTCACTGCTAGTGGGAAAGAGGGTTTTGTTAACGGCCTTGTCGACGGTTTTTCTCAGTTTTTTCTCCACTGTCGTTCCACTTCGCATCTCTATACTCAGTTTCAATCGCCATAATACCCCTTATTGAGCCCGACTTTTGCCTTTAATCGATTTGTCTCTCCTCTTCGAAATCGCGCGCGCTTTAACCCGATTCTTCATTGCGTCGCCTGATACGTAGCCGGCCAAAGCCAACTTCTTTCCATGCCTCGCTTTGGCTCCGCCGAATTACCTTCGATGGTCCATAAGAGTGTAGTTTTTGTACGTTTGTTTCTCTTCGGAAACCGAATCTTCATGCGTGAAACTTTGTGTTCTGTGATCACAGCTGACACATTCATGTCAAGAAAGAATGTAAGAGTTTTCCGCGAAGGATTCCTTTAACTTTTTCCAAGTTTGCAATTGCAGGTAACTGAAAACACGGCAGTCCGCAAGATTCGTGATAAGATCAGAAGCATGAAGGAAGAAGTGGTAAAAACGTTGGAGCTAACACCAGAAATGCTAAAGTCACTCAAAGAAAGACTACAGGTTACTGATCACTTATTTCCTCAAGATTGACTCTCACATCGGAAACACATTACTCTTTTGAATCAGCGAGGCTCACATATAAACAGTTTGCGGGACTTCTGGTGCGTCCAGGGTTGCACGCGGCGAATCGCGCGGCGGGCTGCGCGGCGATCCGGACGAGGCAAGTCTTCGCGGGCTTCTGCGGTGGAATCCAAACACGTCAGAACGTGTGCAGATCGCGGATAGAATCCACAAGGTTCTGCGATTCGAATTACATTCCAACGCGTGGATATTCAAAGGCAGCGCAGGAAGAGAAGAAAAGGAATAGCAAAAGGCTGTTATAGAATCAGGACGCTTAGGTTGTTGGGGGGGGGGGTGTTAGAAAAATCCAATGAGCGGAGAGATTCAACCAATTATTGTGTTTGGGACTAAGCCTGAGGGGAAGAGTTTCTCGTGGAGGATGTGAGCAATTTCTGTTCTCCCGAGCGTATTTCCCTTCTCATGAGCTTAGTTCTAGTGTCACCTTCCATTGGCCCTGTTTTGAAAGTTCTCCCCAAGGACAGGAGCGCCGCGATTAGCAAAGATATAGAGTTGACAATAAATAACATCTCACTAAATGACTCCATTTTTAGTGCTTCTTATTCATATTTATAATATGATAATAGTGACATTTCTATGAAGTTTCTCTCTTTCATCTCCTTTCGCTGTAATCTTCTCACTGACACCGCTGCATTTCACCGATCTCCGCGAGTGGGAAGTTTCTTTCAAAGCAGAACCTTGTGGATTCTATCCGCGATCTGCACACGTTCTGACGTGTTGAATTCCACTGCAGGAGCCCGCGAAGACTTGCCTCGTCCGGATCGCCGCGCAGCCGCCGCGTGCCAGCCGGACGAACCAAAAGTCCGTCGCCCTCCCCAAATGTAGACAATCATGTTTGAAATTTACTAGATAAGTTGAGCGAACATTCGGCATCATCTGAAACTTACAGAAATGGCGGCACATCAAGATAGATAAAGTCGATGAGAGGGGTGACTCCATTATCGATGTCAACAAAAACAGTCGTGTTGACGAGGAACTCTACCAGGGCGACATGATTCTGACAGAGTACGTTAAGAAGAAGATATTATATTAGTGTTATTGAAAAGCAACGAAAACTATTGAGATCCAATCGTAGTTATTGAAGGGAGCAAGCTGAGGAGATCGTTGACGACATAGAAGACGAGGTGGCTGGAGCAAATCGTACGAAACGTCAAGCGTTCAAGGATCGTAGATATCCGAAAACGTTGTGGTCACAAGGAGTAAATTACTACTTTCACGATATGGCTGGTAGGTACAGGGCTGCTGTAGTAGTTATTTAGCCTGCAAATAAACTACAGAACTTCATTATAGATGAGAAAATGCGACGTGCCTTCATAAAAGGTGCCAGGCTCTGGGAAAAGGATACCTGCATCAATTTTAGGCACAACCGTTTTGGTAAGATGGAGTATGAATTTGAGTTCTCTTGTATGATCTCATGTCATTTTAGAATACGTGAACTGCAAATGTAGTTTTCATGACCTCGTCGAACACTTCACAAATATTTTGATTTGTATGTGGGAGAGAGGAGAGGGAGATGCCAAAGAGCTCGTTCGCTCATGGGGTTTCATTAGCAGAGTGACCATGCACAGTAAGATGAGATAGATGAAAGCCGTGAAAAGAATACTCGCGGAACTCATTCCAATGATTAAATGCAAACTTTTTGCTTTGTTCTAAGGTATGAAGCCACCCGCCTGGCCGACAAGAAATTCCACTTTGATTGCTACGGCCTCAAATATCCATGTGATTTCCTCGATCGATTTGGTGAACACCCAGAACACCTTCGTGGGGAGCCTGGCTCATCTCGTCATACATCTGAACCAGAGCTCCATTTAGTCCACGATCACAATGCACTACTGCCTCGAATGTTGACAAGCTGAAATAGGCGACTGATATGGGCTAGAGCTTTAGGGGGTAAGAAGCCCGATCTCGTTTTATTTCGTTTATGAATCACATTCGTCTAAAACTCGGAAACTTGAAAAAGGGCGGGCAGAGGCCAGTCAGAAGTGCCTAATGTTGCACGTCACCGATTATAAGCAGTGCTGAGAGAGAGTGTGTATTGCGATAAAGAAGTCAAAAATCTTCCTGAGTTCACAGATCGCATCCTGTTTGTCTTAGAAGCAAGAGCGCGTTGTTATGAAGGGAGCGGGCCAATTTTTTCAATTGCTTCAGTTTGCCCTTGAAAATTCCATATAGAAATATTTATCGATCGAGCTGGCTACCAGGGTGGAGCTGTATAATACGCGTTATCAAACAAAAGACTGGAGCTAGGAGCTAATCAGCTGTAAGAGCGTGACCCCATGGAAAATATTATGCGATAAGATGAGAAGGTACGGCTGCTCGGAATTAGGTGCACTGTAGAATGAAACTCTGACGATAGCGAAAACGATATCATGTTAGATACGCCACCATTGCAACTCCTTCATCGTCTGATGCGTCGGTGGTGCTACTTACCGGAAGTGGGTTCTGGCGGCCCTGCCATTAAGAACAACTATCCGCTTATTGAGTATGTCTCCCACCCATTTCACTATGTAAGTTTCCACTCGTCCCCATGAAATTTATCACAATTACTTCCTTCAAGGGTGAGCGTGTTTAAAGGAGGAATTCACGATTAGAATGAAGGTCGAAGAAAGGGAAACTGACCTAGTTGAGGGACCCACGGACCTCCTGAGGGTGCGAACTGACGCGCAATTCGCATGGAAAAAATTTGACCTCGGCGACCTATCATGCCTCAAAGCTGGCGGGTCCGGCGATCTCCGCCCACCGATCATCTGATCACTCGCCGTAGTTCAATACGTGGCGAGTGATTAGATAGCTGAGAGAGCGTAGTGTTGAAGAGGGCACAGCGATGAGAGTCGCATCAATGCTCAAATCAACGGGCAAGGAAGGGGTCCCATTTCTCGGGTTCTGGGCCGTTTCTCATGGTTCTTCCTTCTTTCGTGTACCACTCACCATCCCTAGGTTAATTTGAAATGGGTTGCTTTTTCATCGTGAATTCGTCCTTTAAAACACTACAGCAAAGAAGAAGATCAAATGTGCCACCCCTCCTTCCACCCATCCTCTCGTGTATTGTGCAACAGCAACGAATTGTGACCCAGTAGATTTGAGCACTGACTGGATCATCTCAGCCATTCTGATTTCTAGTTTCCGAAATTATTTTCCAAATTTTGGAAACCGGCTCAAAGCTCTAATGTTTAGCCGATGACCGAATTATGGTGTTTCCAAAGGATGGATGTTGGTCGTACGTAGGAAAAATTGGTGGTGAACAGAATCTGTCATTGGGAAGAGGTTGTGAGACAACAGCCATTGCTGCGCACGAGATTGGCCATGCACTTGGATTCTTTCATACTATGTCTCGTTACGATCGTGACGACTTCATCACCATTAACAAGTATAATATTAAAGTAAGTAGTTGGCTGTAATTCAACCAACATTTTTCCATGATACATTGTACTATGACGATGAGAACTTCTGAAAAGTGGTACATAAAATGACGGTGGCCATTTTATGTGAATTGGCTGAGTCAGTTCAATAAAGAGACACCGAGAACAAATGACAATTATGGCATGACATACGACTACGGTAGCATTATGCACTACGGCTGCACTAGGTAAGTTTTCAAGTATTGTTGCTCGAACCATCGTTCCAACTCATAAATACGTTGTGTAAACCATCTGAGTGCACCATAATGATGAGTGTATGTTGCACATGTACCAATTGTGTACTACAGAAAACGATTAAATCCATGGGGTACGTAAACACTTATTATTAGTGCATCATTCAACAATAAGCCGACAATGGTTCCGTTTGATGTCGACTATCAGCAAACCCTTGGATCTCCATTCATTTCGTTCATCGAACTTTCCATGCTCAACGAACACTACAAGTGCAAAGGTTTGCATCTTTCAACAACGTAATAATATAAGCCGTTCGTTTCCGATCTTCCACAATTTTTTTTGAGAAGCGTTTTATGGATTTCGCTCTGCCAAATGTACGATACTGCATGCATTGTCATAGGCTGGCCAGATCTCCATATCCGGTGCATAGCTGCGTCGTCAGATATTTTCGGTTAAGGCCTCCTCAAGGAGTGAACTTAGGGGGTGTTTGAAAAAAGTTCAAAAACTACATTCAACGAAAGCTATAAGAAAATTTTGGACACGAAAATTGTATGACTACATCAATTTCGAGAAAACCTTTATGCAAACGTTTCCGACACTTATTGCGTTACTCATCATACATTTCAGAGAACTGTAACCCTGCCACATCAGTCAAATGCGAAATGGGCGGGTTCCCTCACCCTCGAGACTGCAAAAGATGCATCTGTCCTGGTGGCTACGGCGGAACTCGATGCACACAGAGAGTGAGCAGTTGCTCACGAGGGAAGCCTTTCGGGGAGCCCGCGCTTTCTCAATGTGGTTTGCATGTTATAGATGGATGTGCATGGAGTATAGAACTGTGGTCTATTTCCGTTAGATGGCTCACTGTATGCTTAAAAAGGAATGGAAGTAATTTTGTAACTATAGTTTTTACTGGGCGGAAGTGGTGTAGTGGCAAGTGGCGCGCTTACCACGCGAGCGGTCCGGGGATCAAATCCTGGGTCGTGAGTCGCCCGGGCCAACCAAGCCTTCCATCCCTCCGGGGTCGGTTAATTGGTACCAGACTTGTCTGGGAGGATAAAAACACTGACTTGTACATTGGCCCCCGCAAGTCATTGTATAGGCCACATCGCATTCAAACGCCACTACGAATGTACAAATGGAAGTAGAATGCGTGCCGCATCCCAAAAAGGGATTGATCAACGGCAAATGCTTTATCCTTATAGTTTTTACTCATCAACGAGACGTGTTTCTTTATGGCGCGGACTACTTGTGCAATGAAGGGTCTTTGCAAGCTGTCTGTCGGAAACAATGTGTCGAAATTGGAAAGATGTCGCAATGAATCGTGCTAATACTAAAGCGCGTGTAGAAGTTCCATAAGTGCGTTTGTTCCGTGCTCTAGGTTGTTGGTTCGGAACCTCGAGGCGCCATTTCACATTTTGCACTTCTTGTGGGAGATGTCATATCCGAGAGCAGAACCACCCAACCCCAATGAAATAACTTTTTGCTGAAAGTAAGCAAAAAAAACTGTGACGTCGAAATGGCGGCGGCTACAATAAACAATGCCATATTCCATTTTCATGTCCCGCCTTTGGCTCCGCGCCTTTTACCTTCGATTGTCCATAGAGTGTAGTTTTTGTAAGTTTGTTTCTCTTCGGAAACCGAATCTTCATGCGTGAAACTTTGTGTGCTGTTTCCAGTGATCACAACTGATACATTCATGTTGAGAAAGAATGCAAGAATTTTCCCCAAAGGAATACTTTAACAACCGACAAGAGAATTAATTAATTACAGTTGTATTCTACTAGCTATCTGTCTAATTTTACTTCGCTCGTCATCATTTTATTCAGGTGAGCTATTTGTAACAACAGTAAATATGCTTTCAGGCGTTGTCAATGATTTCACTGCTACCATCGAATGCTGTCATGGTGAGTTTCGCAAATTTTATATATTAGGTCGAGTTCTGTTGTTACAAATAAAACAAACCTGAATAAAATGATGATGAGCGAAGTAGAATAAGACAGGCTAGTACAATACAACTGCAACCAATTAATTTCCTTGTCGGTTGTCAACTGCCGCTTTCTCGCGGCCGTCGTCAGTCAGTTATGTGTGCACCCGATGCTTCCTCTTTTCAAGAGGAGGGTCATTCTTCAAGTATTCCCAGTCACTTAGAGGCGAGCTCCACGCGGAAATATCGCCCTCTCCATCCCCCTCCCGTCCATCATCAGCTTCGGTGTCTGCTATTGCCTGTTCGGATAGGAACATTTCTCATTCTTGAGCAGGATCTAGAGGAGGTCGTGTCCATTCTGGTAGCCGTCAAGCCTGAAGCGCTACTCATGGAGCAATTTTTCGAAGTCGGATCATAATTTAGATTCTTGAAAACTTCGATACAAGGGTTATCAGGTGCCCTGATTACGAATATGACATTCATTTTCAGCTCCGACATCATTTCGGCCCCTATGACGCTGTTCGACGGCACGTTGGTGCCGTTTTTGCGTCACAACTTTCTCTCACCAGTTTTCGGTATACGCCTACTTGTAAGGGTTTTTTGTAAGCCTAATTATAAATATGACATCAATTCCTGGTGTTGACGTCTTTGGTGCCAATTTTGTGGCGTCAAATCACAATGCAAAAATTGTCACCGCGGGGAATCGAACCAAGGACCACTTCCCACTGTTTTTTGGCATTCGAAGGGCCATTAAAGCCACGAGTCAGGATTAGGTGACCATAGAAGGCCTTTCCATCACTAATATTTCCAGGAATGCGCTCAGAGGGGTGATGCCACACTCCTGACTCGAGATTGCGCGCCGTCAAGGCCTCTGGCCTACTACTTACAGCGATGGGTTCGTTTCATCAGCTGGTCCCGCCCACCGCGGGATGTGGTGCGTGGCTGGCCTAACGTGTGAGATCAGCTAGGTTGATTGCCGTATCAACCGATGGAACGGCTGGCATATCCGGAAAACTCGTTTGGACGTGGCTCTCCCCCGAGCAAGCCTCCTTCACTGCTAGAAGGGAAGGGGTTTCGATTTCGGTCTTGTCGACGGTTTCTTTGCGTTTTTTCTTCACTGTCGTTCCACCTCCCATCTCTACACTCAATTTCAGGCGCCATAATGCCCAAACACGAGCCTGACTTTTGCCTTTAAGGGTTAAGAAATGGACCATAGTTCTACACTCCATCTCTATCCCTCTATATCATGCAGAAAACCGTTTTGCGAAAGCGCGGTCACCCTGAAGGATCTCCTCTTGTCAGAAGATATGAAAACATTTGTGTACTAATATTTAATTCAGCCGTCGGGATGCGGCGATATAATTCAAGCCTCGTCCACTTGGGAGACACTTGAGGATGTCACTGGCCTTGGCCGTGGAAAAGAAGAGGATTTCATGATATGTAACTACTGGATTGAGGTAGGTTTTGCATCCAATAGCTGTAGTTTCACAGTGAATCGTTTTGGGAAGCTCAGTTGTTCAATGAAGTCAAATTCTTTTCTTTTTTTTACCGTGATAGTTTTTCGGACAGGAATAAGAATGCATGAAGCAAAGACTTTTACTGGCGCTTGACAGTGCTTGCATAACGCGTTGATCTCTGCAAGGGTGGCTACTGTCTAGCTCCGCTATATCGCTATCAGTGATTTCATACATGAACACAAGCGCACAGCTTAGAGGCATACCTCACCCATAATTAATTGAATTTCAACACCTTCCATGCATACTCAATTTACCTTGAGCTTTTCTCATCTCAGTAATCTTGCTCCAAACCATCCTGAAGACGCTGCCTATCCCTGTTAAAATATTTCATGCTTTTGAAATTGTCGTTCACCTTTTTGGCAATTTTCTCAGTTTTCTTGCGGCTTGCCGCTTCAAAACCGAGCTGCGTAACTTTCAGAGTTTGGCATGACGAAATACGCTACGCGCACCGCACAAGCTGTTCTTCAAGGCACATAGTGATTAACTTTTACAACACTCTGTTCCATTTGATCTCAAAGCAGGCTTGAAGAGACCTTCGTCTTCACGCATACCTCGGTCGCCTAAGGAGTGAATATTTCCTTATGTGTATTTGTTGGGCCCATTTTGGTCTCCGTCTCTGCCCATCCATTCCAAATTGAACCTACTTTCCCATTCCTTATAATATTCACTAAATTTTATCTTTTTTCACTAAATTTCTTCGAGGGTAGTCATATAAATGATTACAAATCATAATATGGATGCGTAGTATTGAGTGAGAAAGTGAGAATAATAGTGCCATTGGGTTTTATAGTCTCCTGCCGGAACCGAAATTGAAGTGAGACTGTTGGATTTCACAAAGGGTATCTCTGTTGATGGATGTACCTATGCTGGAGTGGAGATCAAGACGAACAAGGATCAAACCCTAACTGGTTACAGGTATACTTTTATGACAGCGAGACGGTACACTTAGCGAGACCGTTCGCTAAGACCAAATTCAAGTTTTCAATGTGTAGGGCTTTGAGATTGGTGTGTTGACTTAGTTTGAAACTTTGAAACTTATTACGGTGGCGCAATGAGTGGTTTACTGTAGCGTACGGTACGTCACTTCGCACCTCACTGAACTAGCCTACGGCATGACCCCCTTGATTGCTTGTGCTGAATAGTAACCTTTCTTCGGAACAAGCAAAATTGAAATAATGAATGAAATAATGCTTGAATGTAGAAATGTTCTTCAACAGCCATAAAAAATTGAAGGCCAGGTGTACATA